GGAACGGATGCTGTGTGAGCAGGCGCGAAAACATTAATCTCATCGTCCATCTCCATTAGCGCTCTTGGGGGATGAGGTGCGTTGTCAGTGAGCGGTTAGTGTTTTGAAAGGAGTCTTTTTTTGGAGCAGTAGATCTCAACAGTGGGGTTAAAATACCACGTCATGAGGAGATGTGCTGTCCTCAGGGCTTCGTTGTTACATTTGTAGCACAGGCAGAGTAGATCTAGCATAATTCTGAAGAGCCCCAGGATTTTCAGAACGCTAAGTGAGCACTGGCTTCATTGTCAAGCTGTGTTACTGCTCTGAGAGCCAGCCTGTCCTGTCCTTTGAAACACTGAAGGCAGTGACTTCTCTCCAGCTATGAAAGTCCTAGGTGGTATCTCCTTTCAACATGAGCCTGTTTTCATCTGCACTGAAAAGCTCTCTTTAGTGTAGCCACCCTCCTTACCTGTCTTAGCTAGGTCTTCTGGGTAACTCGCCGCAGTGTGAGCATTAGCACCTGCTGCTTTATCTTGGACATTTATGTTCTGGGGAGACTTCTTTCCTTAAACCTCATGAACCAACCTCTGCTGGCTTCAGACTTTTCTTCTGCAGCTTCCTCTCTTAGCCTTCATAGAACTGAAGAGAGTTAGGACCTCGCTCTGCATTAATTACCTTTGGGCTTAAGAGAATGTTGTGGCTGGTTTGATCTATCCAGACAGCAAAAGCTTTTTCCATACCAGCAGTAAGGCTGTTTCACTTTCTTATCATTTGTGTGTTCACTGAAGTAGCACTTTCAATTTTCTTCAAGAATTTTCCTTTGCATTCACAACTTGGCTTAACTGTTTGGCACAAGAGGCCTTTGCCAAAGGCCTCGGCCCAGCCTTTGACATGCCTTCCTCTCTAAGCTTAATCTTTTCTAGCTTTTGATTTAAAGTGAGAGACGTGCAACTCTTCCTTTCACTTGAACACTTAGAGGTCACTTTAGGGTTATTAATTGCCTAATTTCAATATTGCGTTGCAAGGGATAGGGAGGCCTGAGGAGAGGCAGAGAGACCAGGGAATGGCCTGTTAATTGGAGCAGCCAGAACACACACAACTTCAATTAAGTTTGTAGTCTTATATGGGCATGGTTCGTGGCACCCCAAAACAGTTGCAGTAGTAACATCAAAGATCACAGATCACAATAACAAATATATAATAATGGAAGTTTGAAAGTTTTTTGAGATTTACCAAAATGTGATACAGAGACACAAAGTGAGCAAATGCTGCTGGAAAAGTGGTGCTGACAGACTTGCTAAACACAGTGTCGCCATGAACCCACAATATGTAAAAAATGCAGTATCTGTAAAATGCAGTAAAGTGAAGTGCAGTGAACTGAGATATGCCTGTATGTTTATCCCCCATTTTTACTCTCTAATACCTGATTTTGAAATTTGTTAACTGGAGATTTAAATTGTATTAATTCTTTGAGCTGATAATGATTCCTTTTGTTTTGCTGCATACTTCTGAAATATGAATGGGAACTGAAGTCTGGGGGGAATGCTCAGTGACTCCACATACAGAGGGGAAAAGTGCACCGATGTGCTCAGACTGGCAGAGTTTGCTCTAGGTGTCTGGAAATAGTGAATGAAGAAATGGAAATTAAAGTTTTAAAATGTGTATTTTAAATGTGCAATGGTTTATCTTAATAGTTACAGGGTATTAGAAAAACAGGAATTTATCAGCCTGTTATTTAAAATGCTTCCCAATTTTCATTTTGCTTTTCAGAGAGCACATGACAACAGATGGTTCACAGGACCACAGCTGATTTCCCTTCTAGATCTGGTGCTCTTTCTCCCAGAGGGTGCTGAAACAGATCTACTGCAAAACTCAGATAGGTGAGGTGACTGTTGCTAAGGTTCACACAGTAAATTCAGAATAAAATGTGAAATCCCTTATTTAGGAACCTAAAGCAAAATAAAATGTATTTTCCTGTGATTTTATAATCTATGGTTAACTCATAAAATTACGTAAGGATTTTCATATTTAAGTAATTAGATATTAAGTAAAAACAAAAAAAGTCTTCTTTCCAGAAGTCTGACTAACAGTATGGTTTGTACTTTAAAGGTGCCCAGCATTCCAGTCTAGCCCATGGGGATTTGGAACAATAGCACTGGTGACTGAAAACTAAGAATTTCGTGTATATAACTTATAAAAGGCTTATGTGTTTGGGTTTTATTGTTTTGTTCTCCAGGACATACATCATTTTTTCTTCCATATAGAACATGCAATTTTACTTTTGGTATACTATAATGGATGTTGAGAAACAGTTGTGAGCATTTATTAAAGGAATCTTAAAATTCAGGAAGCAAGAGATGGTACTCTTATATATTAAAGATAACAAGTTGCCCTTGGAGAAAAAAGAATAGTAATTTTCACAGTTGTATTTGATGAACTTGAGAAGAGTGATAAGTTAACGTTAAATGGATGAGAAATGTGGTGAAATGTTAAAGGGAAAAGTTTCTAATGGTAAACATAATTGTAAAAATATACCTAAGGTTTTAAGTTACCTTTTATGTACTGAAATTGTTGATTATATAAAATTATACTGTAAGTAACAAATTATATATTTTTAATTAACAGGATAATGGCCTCATTAAATTTATTGAGGTATTTGGTTATCAAAGATAATGAAAATGACAATCAAGTAAGTGAAAATTTTGAAAAACAAACTATTGTCTAGAATGCATAAGGAATGTTTTATATTTTCTTATCAATACTTACTTAAGCCAGTAGTTAATATTTTACCCAGCTACAAAGTTGTGAGAAGTACCAATGATCCCGGGAGCCCTTCCCACCCCACATCCACTTCCCTTTCTTTTCCCTGTTGTACCTCTGCTCTTGCTGTAAGCATTGTTCAACCTTGCTGCACTGCAGTCAGTCAGTCGTGCGTCCTGAGATAACCTTTTGGAACTCAACATGTATTTGGGCACCTTGTTCATTTATCTCCACCTATAGCTCATGATTTAAATAAAATAAAATCATCTGATAATTTGATATCCCCTCATCAGACATGACAAATTCAAGCATATTCAGTACTAAACCTGACCCTGGTAATACCACCTTTTGAATAATGCATAGGAAGTTGAGTTTAAAAAAAAACACAACAGTGCATCATTGTTAGTATTCAGTACACAGAAAACTGTTTGAGGGAGATCTGTCATACAGTAAAATCATTTGCTTTTCATCTTCTTCCTGCCTACTCCATTCTCATACTTGCTTTCTGTATGTGTGTCACCTCTATTAACTCTGGCTACCTGAATCACAAGTGTTGTTAATTTCTTTTTTAGAAAGTAATAAAAAAAACAAATGAAAGTAACTGATTTTTATTTAAGAATGCCAAAGAGTTGTTTTTTTAAAAATAAGTAAGTCATGATTTGGGATGAAAAGTTTGAGAAAAGTAGCAGCTTCCTTCCTTCTTGACTGAATCTGTTAGATTTGGTGACTTGACCTCCTGTTCATCCTTCTTGAGACCCAAATAGTTATTTCCTATCATTGACTAGTGCAAACTCTGTACTAGGGTGGTGTTTTCCCCTAACATTTTATAAAATTTTTCAAACATACAGCCAAGTTGAAAGAATTTTACAGTGATCACTGATTTACCCATCACCACCATTCTACCATTAACATTTTACTCCACTTTTATCATGTATCTCTCTCTCCACTCTATCCATCAGTCTCTTATTTCTTAATGCATTTCAAGCTAAACTGCAGATATAAGTATCCTTTCCCACGAATAAAGAAGAGTTGTGTATCTGTTTGTAGTTTTTCTTTGAGTTAAAGTTTACATAAAATGAAATGCACAATTTTTAATTGTACATTCAGTGAGTTTTAACAAATGCATAGATCTGTTATCCAAATCCTTATCAAATATAGAATATTACTATCATCACAAGAAGTCCCCTGTTTTCCTTCTGTTAACTCTGACCTCATCACTCCACACCCATCCCTTCCCCTGCCGGTGGCAATCTCTATTCTTGCCAGGTGCTATCATTTATTTATTCTTCACAATGCTGTAAGTACTCTTTAGTTTCTATTTTTCATAGATAATGTAGGCCCAGGAAGGATCTTTGACTTGCACAAATACATATACCTAACTAAGTGGCAGAGGTAGCTATGACCCGAGGCTGTGACCAGAACCTTTGAATCACAAACTAAATCTTGACTCCTCTCCAGCGGAGTTTCTAAATTCAGCAGCAGTGGAAGCCCTGAGGCTTCAGGAAGGTGTCCTTAGGGTGTATGGTATGAGTGTTTACTTACATCAGGAAGAGACCATATCTAAAGATGATCTGACTTGCTTGACAGAAAGAAAAAGAATCTTCTTGATTAAGAGTGATAGATTTATTCGATGGGCCTCTGCCTACAGAGGAAGGACGGAACAGATTAGCATTATGCCATGTCCACTGTGATATCCACAATGCCTCGCATTTATTTGACTTGAACATTATATGGTGAAGAAAAGGATATAACCAGCTTTATAAGATTGCTTTCTTATTTAATGGTTTTTTAACAATTTTTCTTAGAGATCAAATATTCCAGAGTATTGCTATGCAAGTTACTATAAGAATTATCATACCAAGGAAATGAGCAAAAAATCAGTACAAGATGGCACCTTGACACTTTTGAGGAAGCTTGTTCATCATGGAAGCATTTCTCCCAAATGCAATCACAATAGGTCACATATAAATGAAAGGCCGATCTGTCTGCTGTGGTTAATCAAAAAAATGACAGCTTCTGAATTTTAAGAAACTTTGATTAAAGGAGAAACAAAATGATACTCTAGTGGTGAACTGTAGGTAGTTTTATTCAGAAGGACTCCTACCAGTACCTAGTTTTGATCAGTTAAGTGTGCTGAGATGGTAACTAGTCAGATAAAAAACTTTTGAAAAGCAATCAGAAAGGTGTATAGAAAAATTAAATAAGAACAGAATTATTAAAATACAAGACAAAGTGATTCATAATTGAATGATCATCTATTTCTTTTCCTGCTATTTTTGGTTACTGTCAACTGACTTACTCTTTTCACAAATCATTCCCCTTCTTACCTGACCATCTCATGCCTCTTTATCTGCATAAGTTACAGGCTCCTTCTCCCACACTTCAGTTATACGTAACTTCTTGACCCTCCATCTGTCCTAGTAAAGCCAACTTAGTTTTTAGACCTAGTATTCGGTATCATTTGGCAGGTATCTAAATGAGTATTAATTATTGAATTACATTCATTTATTCTAATACACAGCCCATAATTTTATCCCTCATTCTCTGTCCGGTCTACTCATGTCCTTTCATGTCCACCTGCTTACATGTTCTTTTTCCAAAATAATTTGTGATTTTAATATGTAAAATGAAACAGGGACAAGGGAAACAATGTGAGATTGTAAAGGCCACAAGTTCGTACCAGGAATTTTTAAAAACTGAATTATGTAATGTATCCTTGTGTTTTTTTGTTCAGGAAAAAACAATAAATATCTGGCATATATACACATACATATAGTTCTATATAATCCACCTTTTTGGTTCTGATTTAAATTGTTTCCTTCTCCAAGATTAAAATATATATCCCTCGTGTGTTATCTGCAGAGCCAGATGATGTCAGGCTATGGATACTCCTTAATATTACAAATGATAGAAGTTCTACAATGTTACTTTGTAAAGAAGTCATTTATAAATTAGGAGAAAGGGGAAAACTGGGTCTTACTCATTTCCTTTTTATTTCCTCATTATCATGGTTGACTGTATCCTTTGCAAGGCTCCTGTCTGTTCTGGCAGTCAGTGTCACTGTGGTGTAAGACTGCCTAATCCTCCTGTGAGGTAGGCTGCAAGTGTTGAAATGCACAGTTAGGCTCTAGAACTGAAAAGACTTCAGAACTACTCCAGCAGTGAGTTACTCGGGTATAAAATTAAAAGTAAGCATTTGTGAACATTTCAAATTTTTATCCTTTTAACTATTTTTAAAAATCTTGTTACTATTTCTAGATACTGAAGATAAATGGTAAGATGATTTTCTTTGTAGGTTTTTTTTAAAAGATTGAGTAACCTTAATGTAAGACAGAAAATATTCTTGTTTCCACAGCTTCTTCACTCTTACATGCTTCTAATAATGTTACTGTTTGCACCATATGAAAAATTTGTGGAATTATGCTGAACAAAATGTGCAACAAGTTTTCTTTAGCCTAATTTTGGCACATTTTTATTACCTTATAAGTTTTAGATTATGGGCTGTGTATTAAATTACTGGCATTAAGAACTACGTTCTTAATAAAGATCTCCTAGATTTGCATTGTCCAATACAGTAGACAGTAGCAACACATAACTACTTAAATTTTAAATTAATTCTTAAAGTTTTTAATTAAAAATTCAGTTCTTCCTTGGCATTCTAGATCACTGTTTCTTAACATATGATCCTACTCAAAATCACTAGGTATTTTATATATTTAAAAATATATTTATTTATGTTTATTTATATATATGTAAATGCAAATTTCTGGGTTCAGCCCCGAATCTACTCAAAGCCTCTGAGTAAAGTACAGAAATCTATGTTTTTAAGTAGCATAGTGAAGTTTGAGAACCTTTATTAAAATATTATGAATTATAAATAAAATCTATTTTATGTGATGTTTGTTTATAATAAAAGATCATATCAACTATTTAGAACGGAAGGATAATGAAATGCTATATAGTAAGACTGGTGAGATGTAGCTAAAGTGACGCCTAGAGAAAACTTTCCAAATTTAAATGCTTTCATCAGAAAAGAATATAAAATTATTAATGAATTTCTGGCAAGATCGACTTGAAAAATGCATGAAGATACAATATGTTATTAATTAAAAAGGAAGTATAAGTATAAATACAGCACAGATTGAAAAACAAGAAGAAAATCACATGAAAACATTAACAGTAAATTTGGAAACTTCAATGAAATGGAATTTGTTAAAAGATAACCTAACACAGCTGCTACAGTCTTCTAAGAGAAATCACAAGGACAGATAATTTTACCATAATTTTAAGACACACATATTCAGGTCTTATATAAAGTGTTCCAAAGACTGGATAAAGAGTATTTGTGGCCAATGCTATAACTATTCAGTGAGATATCATCTTAATACCAAAACAGACTAGAATAGTATCCTGAAGTAAAGTTAAGGCTAATCTCATTTATGAATATAGGTACTAATATTACCAAGCCAGATCTAGCAAAAAAAATTTTAAGTCATAGGACTAAGCTGAGTTTATTCTGTTAATGCAAAATAATGAATTCATAGATTAAAGTAGAGGAAATACTTGTTCATCTCAATAATTACAGAAAAAAAGCATTTGACACATTAAGTATATAATTATGATCAAGATTCTCAGTCAACCAGAAAACATTTTTATTATAATTGCAACTAAAATATGAGATACTTAGGAAAACATGTAGCAATATGTGTGTGGGTATGGTTTGTGTGGGGGGGGTGGAATTTGATGCCTAGCTCACATAACACACAAAACAAAATTCCAAACAGATTAAAGACTTAAAGTTGAAAGGGAACTAAGAAATTTTTAGAACACATTATATGAGACTACCCCTGTGACCTAAGGGTGGAAAAAGGTTTTGTAAGTAAAAAAACACTAACCACCAACGAATAGATTGACAAACCTAGTAACATGAAAACAAAAACCTATTCAAGGAAAAGAAAATGTGTAGAAACTGAAAAAGCCACAAAGGGAGAAAAAAAATCTTCCTTCCTCCATCCAATAGTATAAAAAACAACTACAAAAGCAAGAAGAAAAAGGCCACAAATCAGAAAAAATAGGTAAAGGACAGATACTGTCCAGGCAGGTCACAGAAGATGAAGCCCACATGGCCAGTAACCGCAAGACAAGATTCCCAGTATCAATAGTGTTTATGGAAGTGTTAACTTATAACTGCAGTGAGGTACCGTCTCACACCTATTACTACAGCAAAGGTTTAAAAAGGTGGTAGCATAGGTGAGACTACAGAACAGTGATCAGACAGATTGGGTATCTCTTTTGGAGAGCAGTCTGGCATTATCCAGGGAAGCTGAAGAATACTTCAACTCAGCACTTCTCTCCTCGGGTATATAGTTTAGAGCAGTGTTCTTCAAATCGCTGGTCATGACCAAGGATGTTGGTGAGGCATTAAATCAGTTTAATGAAATGGAATGTAATTGAAAATATCAGGTTGCTTGCACAGATTGAGAGTTATGGATGTTGCAGCAAATTTTGCAGTCAGCTGCCAAGAACAGTGTTTGAACGTGGAGGGGATATGACAAACTGGCTAGGAATAAGATGTATGGTATATTGTTTACCAACATCTCGATGTATTTAATGGTCAGTCTGACCATAACCAGAGCACAAGGGCTGTCACACTGTACAGTTTACTTTTATAGTAACATAATATGTGGTTAGTTGGGAAATGAATTGTACCTACTGTCAGTAAAATTGTCAAGTTTTACAGCAAATTATTTTAATCTGTTTTCAAAATGAACTTTATCAGGTAGCATACATTTTTTTCCAAATTCATGACAACTGTAAAACTAGCATGTATACACTGAACTCAGATTCTTTTTTTAAGAGAAAAATAAGTAAAATACAGAAACATGTTCACATTGAACTACTGATCTGAAACTAAATAGTGACAGTGTTCAGAAAAATATTGACTCTATAATTAGTAAACTCTGACTTAATTTGAGCCACATTCTTAAAAAAAAGAAAATAAAGGTAAGACTTTAAAGCTAAGATTATTTAAAATAATAGTTTCATCAAAAGTAAACTCCCAATGAAAATGAGAGTTTGGCAAGTCTTAATGAAACCTTAAAACCTTCAAATAATTAAAGCACCTAGAAACAATATGCTGAATGAGGCCCCCTGATGTTCTGAAAGATGGAAAGTTACCAACATTCTGCTGGTCTTTGTAGAAGTTAAAAAGAAACATATCAGCATATATAACTGCATATTATTTGGCAAATGAGAAAATGGCTCACTTGGGTCTGGAAGAATTATTTTTCCAGCATATATGGATATAATGCATACACTGCTTGTGTCTATCAGTTTATTTAAAAGTACGTTCTAATGGTAACAATGTTTTATCAGACCTATTTTGCACAACGTGGGTGCAAAGGCTATGATGCTTCTTGATGAGGCCTATTATAAATTGTGCAACATTTTTAAGTTGGTATCTGGTATTTGCAAAACAATATGACATTGTATTGTTTAACTTAAACTTACACACATCTAAAGGTTAGCTGTATTTACTGAATTGCAAACACTGTAGGTCATTAAAACTTAAAGTAGAAAATGTTTTATAGGAATGACAAGTGACAGCAGAGGTGTGGGCAGTTATCTTTTTAAATTGTCAGAAGCACTACCAAAGTTGTTTGAAGTCGGTGTATTTTATTTTGGAAAGTTTTGGTATCCAAGGAAATCCCTCTACATATTATAAATATATTATAAAGATGGTGAAAATTGTTAATTTTAAAAGTTTGCTGAGTAGCCAAACTCTTGAAACTTGTTTTTCAGAGTACAGAGCTAAGCATAACCAGTCACTGTATCATATCAAAGTTCATTTATTGTTCCTATGGAAAGTTCTAAATAGGGCATATGAACTCAGGAATAGTATGTTTTTCTACTTGAAAAGCAACCTCATTTGGCAGATATTTTCAAAGATAGTATCTGAGTGACAATTAACATAATATATTTGATTTTCTGGCGTGTCTCTGAAATAAAATTTGAAACCACAAGGAAAACATGATTATATATGTTAAACTTATCTCACTTCTCTGTTGTAAACTTTTAATCATTACTTTCTAAAGGAGAAATTTAAAACATTCAATAAATGTGTTTGATAAAAAGTATATTTAATTCTTTAAATCCTGAATCAGTAACTAGGTTAAACCTGTTGGCTGAAGAGAATTAATTAGTGAAACTTAGTTCTTCATTTACACCAAAGAAGGAATGTAAGACATTAAATTTATCATTATTTTGGGAGTAAGATTTCAAAGAATTTCTATTACTAAGTAAAGTTAAGGGTGAAAGGAAATCTTTTCAACTTAAACCAACTTTTTTAAAAGGAAACTTTTCCCTGTATTTTGGATGTAAGTCCTTTATTACCTATGTTTTTTGTAAATATTTTCTTCTAGTTGGTGGCTTATGTTTTCATTATAATAGAATTTTTCAAAGAGCAGAAATTTTAAATTTTGGTGAAATCCAACTTAATCAGTTTTATTTTTTAAATGAGTATGTACTGAAGAACACTATTTTAATGACTGTGTAATGTGCCATTATGTGGATATACTACAATTTACCAGTCTCCTGTTGTGAAATATTTTCATTACTTCCAATTTTTCACTAAACATTATTTTTATAAACATCTTTGCAGTGGAGTCATTACAGCATACATCTCTAATTCTTCACCAAGATAAGTTCATAGATGCTGAGTGAAAAAGTACACATATTTTTGAGGTTTTGGATTCTTGATAGTTCCTCTACTTTTCCTAGCAATATAGGAATAATGAGAAAGGAGAGATTTAAATTGGTATTGTTGACAGTCAATGAGTTATAAATTATTCAACACGGAGATACGTAGTCTTTATTTTGGAGTACAATATATGTAAGATGTCATATACCACTTGGATCAAAATAAGTTCATTACAAAATAGGTTTCCAAGTGGTCCAGTTCTAGTTAAGGATAACTGGATTCCTAAGTTTCTCTTCTTTGCCCAAGATAATTTCCTTTGTAAAAAGTACCTGGAAACGTACTAATACCAATGAATTTTCTTTCTTTGTCTGTCTTACTTTCATTCTTTATTTAAAAAAAAAACCCAAGACTTTGTGATTCCCTTCCTCTAGTACTATAGGAGGAAATGCTCTTGGAATAAAAACCTCCAGTACGGATGACAAAATAACCCTAAGCTTTCCTGGGCAGGTAAAATCTCCATCTACACTGATCACCAAGAAAGTCCGTATCAGCTTTGTGTTAGAAAAGTTTCCATTCATAGGGAAGAAAAAGACCCCTCTGGAACTAGATTTGTGACAAGGAAATCAACTGAAAGATCAAGAGCTGAAGGGATTTACAGGGTAGAGCCATTGGGGGAGGGGGTGTTATAAGAAAAGAATGTAGCAGACCATGTGGATTATCCTCAAATAATTTTCTCATGAATAAAACTTCTTCTATGTTACAGATCTCAAAACCAGGATCTGTCCACATGGCACAGTAATGAATGTACTGACTGAAGTACATTTTTATTTTGATTGATATTTTTTGCTTTGATTAGTATTTATATAAAATAACTAGATGTAGTAATGAATGTACTCCTATTAAACAGGAAACTCTACTTTGAAAGGCAAGAGTCATGTCTTACTCATTTTTGTTTTTCCAACTCAAAGCACATGTTTAATCCTAGCAGGCAATCAGTAAATGCTGAACCAAATAATTCTTTCACTAATTCTTCTGAACAGACTGGACTATGGACAGAACTCGAAAAGATTGAAAAGAATTTCTTAAAGCCACTCCATATAGGACTTAATATGTCAAAAGCACATTATGAAGCAGAAATTAAAAACAGCCAAGGTTGGTAATGTACAATCTCATTTTCAGTTAGGTCTAAAAGTTAGTCAGATTTTTGAACTGTCATTTATATTTGAAATAAAGAACTTTATCATGTACTTGTCTAATTTATAGCAAACAGGGAAACACGACAGCTAAGTCGTTTTTACAATTAAAATGATTCTTAGCAAATCTATACACCAGTTAACACTGAAATTGGGTTAACTGAGATTTAAACCAAACTGAAACATACTCTGATTTAAGACCTCAAGTTCTGATTAAGAATCTAATTGTATTGGAAGTGTTTGGACATCATTGTACTTCCTTTGGTAGTGCTGGGTCCATCCCCCACTTCACCCTTAACTAAATCTGTACAAATTATTAAAAAGATTCTTAGACTAAGACTTAGTTTTTAAAGTCAGCAATTCTGTTATAATAATCTTGTGATCTTTTCCAGATCACTATGGTGGTATTTGTACAGGCCTTACTAGAAATTTTGTCTTTCAGTGTGACAGGTATAATTCTGTGTATGTATTAAAGAAAAAAGTTTATAAATTTTCATTCATCCTGTACATGCCTAAATAATGCTATTCACCTAAAGAAACATAAGTTCACATGTTGCAGAATTTTGATATTTTTATTCATTTATAGCTTGAGCTAAGCATACCCTGAGCTATTAAACAGTAAGACTTAATTGACACCAATAACTGACATCTTTTAAAGTTAGTAAGTGATAAAAGTAGCTTATAAATTTATTACTGAAATCTGACAGTTGTGGTTGAGTGTGACACATTTTTTTTTCTCTTACAGAAGTCCAGAAGTCTAAAGATCTTTGTTCTGTAACTGTGGGTGGAGAAGAGATCCCTAATATGCCTCCTGAAATGCAGCTTAAGGTAGATCTGGAATTTTTCAATGCTATATCCAGCTGGTCTTTTCTTTTTTGCTTTGTTTGGTTTTAAAGGCAGCCTTAGTAACAGTAATTTTTCTTGGCATTGCAGGTCCTACATTCAGCTCTTTTCACATTTGATTTGATTGAAAGTGTTCTGGCTCGAGTAGAAGAACTCATTGAAATGAAAACAAAATCTACCTCTGAAGAAAGTAAGAGATGAAGTCAAAGCTCCATCTCCTAAATAAAAATTAGTAAAATGTATTTTTCATTAAGATTTATTGAATACCTTTATTAAAATTTTTCTGTGAAACACTTACCAATAGAAAATAAATGTAGCTTTTCTTATTTATGTTTCTGTAATGATACATTATAGATCAGTGGCATTGTTTGGTTTTAAAAAGGTATCCACATGGTAAATAATGCCCATATGTGTATTCTAAGTACAACTGTTAAAAATCCAACACAAATGAATAATTTTACACTATGACTTCATAAAATGTACTTGAATTGCTTTTATTCATTCAGATAGTTGTAGTGAGTTGATAAAAATACTGATAAATTTTATGTTCCAGTTAGATGTTGTATGTTACATTTCAGAACTCCTAGTATGGAACTGGCTATCATACCACCATAAGCGCTTAGAGAGCAGTTTTGAGTTCAGACCAGTTCACTACTTAACCTCCCCTGCTTTCTCTGTCTCCAGAGGAGGACAGAGTTCTACCAGCAGCTCTCCAGCAGCAGTTACAAAGTGAAAGCATCTGCAGAGATTAATTTTAGAAATACTGGCTGGCTCATGGAAAAGCTAAAAAGTACCTGTGACTTTTCCTTTAATCTAAGGGGCTAACTAGAAAATGCTGTATATTTATTTCCAAGTAAATAATTGTTTACCCAACTGAGTTTGTATCATTAAGAAACTGCATCTGAATTTTTATGTATGTACCAATTTTTTTAAGCATTACTAAATGAATTAACAAAACTGAAAATAAAATCAGTTTTAATTGCATGCCATTTTATTTTAAAAATATTAAAATCTTTAAATATACATTTGAACATTATAATTTAGCCAGTCTAATTATTTTAATATTCTTCCAGAAGAACACATATATAATCTAATTTGGATTAAATGAATCACTACCTAGCTTTATCTTCTGAAGTGTTTTCCAAACAGGACTCTTCTCAATGATGTGAGCTTTGGTTGTTATCATTCTGTAGCAGATGCTGTCTATGTATGCTTTGGAGGTGACCTGGAAGAAGATATATAAAAGCAACATTATTTAGAGAAGTAAGGTATTTTTACAAGGTCACATCATAAAATCCCTAACTTTATTTATTCAACAAGTATCAGTCAGTACTGTGTACGAGTTATTAGAGTAATAGAGAGAAAAATACCTGATCTCTATCTTTAAGGTGTTTCAAACAAGGTGTGGCAAACCAACAAGTAGAATACTGTAAGAATTGCTTCCGTGGAGATCTCTTCCAAGTGTAACGCCTAACTCTGCCTAGGGAAGCTGGGAGCACACTTCACAGAGAAGGACAAGCATGAAAAGAAAGTGGGTAACTGGAGAAAAGCATTCTGTAAAATAGTATGTACTCTGACAGTTCATGTCTCCTAATATTTATACTTGAGAACTTGAAGAAAGCTTTAAGTAACCAATAGGGTCAACACAATGCATATATGGCCAAATGCTCTTTCAGCCCCAAATGAGTCATTCTGGTAGTTGCTACTGGAAGTAAATTGAGAAGACGTGAGAGGCTGAGTTCAGGCTTGGGAACGAGTTGCATGTGGAAATGACAACTTCTCTGAGGGAAACAAAAGTTGAGTATTTTGTCAGTTCTACTGAAGAGGGTGTGCATTCTGAAGTCAAGAACTATATAAAGTGTATGAGTGTGGAATCTGTGTAATTTTGCTCAGATGACTTACCTTAGCTATAGTGCACATAAGATTAATAGCATTTATTGTGTTGTGTACTGGAAGTATCCGTAAGTTACTACCCAGGAATCTGAAAAATAATTCGTAAGTTAAATAGATCATATAGCTTACTGACATCTGTTTTTTAAGTAACTGGAAAGAAGAGACAAACCTCTTATTCTTTGTCATTTGTTTCATTCATGTCTGCCTTATTCCACAGAGGATTTGGTATGGCTTTATAGTCAGAACTTAACTGACTAAAAAATGTTCACTTCTGATTTAGTCTTGCAGGAGAATCCCATAAATCAACATCAAGTCTGAAACTTGTCACTGTGATTTGCAGAATAGCCATTTGGCTTGTGTTTTATTAAATATGATAGGTTAACATTATAGCGTTTATCTTTTGGCAAAACATAATTCACTTGCCTGAAAGAATTCAGAATTGAAATAAATAAAATAAGGAAAATAGGTCCGTAGTGATAGTCTTCCATACCTCTGCTGAATCCTGAACATTAGCTTCCATTCCTGGGGCCCGTGGAGGGCAGCAGACAGAACCAGAAAACTATTCTGGTGGAGGTTAATAAAATTCTCAATTTCGGCTAGGAATACCTCTTCAGTAGACATAAAGCATTCTTTAGCATCCATCAATAAAAATGCAACTCCTAGGAAAGGTGAGTGTAATAGAAAATGTCAGTTCATCATACTGATCAAATTTGTTTGTAAACTCAGTAAAATCGACAAAAGTAGGTATAAGTGAAACATAGCTATAAGTGTCCAGGCCCTCAACCCATAACAGATGGAAATTACTGTAACAAAAGTCTTACACAACAAAATAATTAGGTAGTTTTTCGAAGTGCTGTGTAAAAAAGGATGACTTAATTTAAATATTTAAGGTAAAAGAACTTTTTTGGTCAGTAACTTCTATTTTTCAGACTAAGGCACTATCCACAATGAAGGTAATGACTAATTTTATTTACAGGTTAATTTTCCTGATTTTTAAAAGCTGGACATCAACTAAAGAAAAGTAATTTTAAGCAAGCCTTCAATATTTTCTTGGAGAAGTTTTATAGCAGAATATAAACTATTATATAAATTAATACATTCAGTAAGCAGGTATCAAGGATCTCTGAAACAGTTATCAGGCCTATAAGAATGATCCATAAGGGAAATTTAATCTAATTAGCTCTTTAAAAGCTAAGAGGAAGGCATAATCTGAGGGAAGTGACTGATTATGCTAATTGAGTGAATTTGGGCTAAATACTTAAAATAACCTCTCTGAACCTAAATTTCCTCATCTGTAAGTTTGAAATAATAGCTCTTTGATAGGTTTGTTAAAAGAATTAAATAAGAGAATGCATATGAAGTGGCCAATGCACACAGCAGGAGTCATCAAAAATATTTTACTTCTCCCTAGATGGCTCCCTATTCAACCAGGAAGGACAAGCTTGAGGTTGGAGCATTTTCAGCCTAGAGGTCTACTTCTAGAAGCTTTATAAAGTTTCTGTCTTCCAAAATCTCTAGTGGAGTACAGATCTATTGTAACCATCCTAATAAAATCCTCACCTCTACCTCTTTTATCACTTCCCAAGGACAAGTGGAGTTGCCCCTGTCCCATGCTCCTAGCTTCCTCATACCCTAATCTAGTTTCTTCCTGTACTTTGCCCATGACTCACAATTGTACAGTTCTATGATTTCAGGAACACTGGCCCCCACTTTTCTTTTTTTCCTTCCCCCATTTGGTTCTCTTAGTATTTGTTTATATTGTTCAGCAAACTCATGAAAAAACATTCTCCTGTATTGTGTTTGTATATGGATTTTGACCAGTGTGATGTTGGCCTCTTTGTTAACAAGGATAATACTTTAAATATTAATTGTTGGGGAGCATGGCTTTGTTCCATGTTCATTTTAGTTCCAAAGTATTTTTACCATCCTCTACTGGAATCCACTAGTTCAGCTTTAGCTCAACAACTGTAATCTAAAAAGGAATATATTTTGTAATTGGCCATATGTACTGCTTTTGCAGCAGTGACAGTGTTATATATTTACCTCTCCCAAAAGGTAACACCTTAAGCTTACTACCTGGTTACTGAACTACCATATTATTAGAATTTATACTCATATATTTTATAAGAAATTTAAATAAAGGAAGTTAACAAGTATACTGTACCAGAAAGAGAAAATATAATTGATCCATTTTTCACTGAATTTGAGTACCGAACCTTGTGGCTTCGATTTTCTAGGGCAGTCGCAACTTCACAATTCTTTAAAAAAATTTTCAGAAATACAAACTTAAGATATGCTTAAAATAATTTTTAATTAAAGCTAATGAAAAAAATAAGTTTAATAGCTTCTTTTATAGCTATACCACTTAAAGGTTTGATCATCAACAGACACTACATGTGCTCTCTCTACAGAGAAAAAAAACATTAAAAAAAAAAGTAAAAATATTTAGTTCTGCTGAAACACACTGGGTTTGGAAGTGAACTGTGTACTATAGTTATGTTACATAGGGAAGAAATGAAGGACAGTTTTAACTAAACTATTAAAGCAAACGCCAACTTTTTAAAGGACAAAGTGGACAGGGATTCTGACAAATACTAAGGAGTAAATGGGAGGTGGAGGGTGGTGTGTTTTCTCAGACAGTTCACAGAACCATGAAGTGCCACACAGGACACGACACGAAGACAACCAATTCTCTGATGCATGTTTACATTACAGTTACTTTTAGTGTACTTTAACAATGTTTTCAGCTTTAGGCAACTTAGAAAACATGCATGAAGACAGCAATAGCACTGCTGGTTTAAATACTAACCATTTCAAAACTCATTTCTTATTCTACCCAAATAACTAGATACTACCCAAGAGACAAATATTAAGTGGTAAATAGTATTTCCTGATTGGTTAAAACTCAAGCTTGTTAATCTCCAAGTAGGTAAAAATCCAATAGATGTATTAACTTTATTTCACATTTTGCCTCAGAACTTGTATATTTTAAGTACACAGGTTCGAATTAGGAATAGAATACATGCTTTCTTCCCTAAACAGTATTTTATGCTATTCTAACATCCTGATTTAGAGCTCAACTATGACTCTTCCCATGAGTTTTCTTCTCCTGCTTTAAAATTACACATTGCTTCCAGCGATAGCAGGCTAAGTAATTTAGGCCAACCCTCCTGCTCAAGGCAACTAGAAAAGCTAGGCAATTAAAAACTCTGCTTGAATGCACCAGAGAGCTAGCAGGATAGTGAAAGATTACAAGGCCAAGATCTACACAGAAATTCGAAGATAAGAGATCAGCATTTAGGCCATTTTTGTTTTTCCCCTGAGAGCATCTGTCAATTCAGGAAGAAACAGATGAGAGGCTGAACAGAGCTTTTGACAAAAGTGGAAAAGCTGTCACAGGGGCTGTAGCTTCAAACGCTTTCAATCTTTAAACTTGTATTGAGGTGATACTGTATTATCAGTGCTCCCACGCACCTTGCAGAAGCACACCCTAGGGCAGCCTTTCTCGATTAGGTCTCCTCACTTGAAAACGGAACAAAGAAAATTATGTGAGTGACTATTTTCTCAATTCTCCCATAACTAGTATCATCTAAATGCACAAGAGCGAAGTTCCTTCATTATATACAATAGATGCCATAGGGCTTGGGTGGCCAGACTAGCAAATAAAAATACAGAATATCCAGTTAAATTTGAATTTCAGATAAACAACATAATTTCTTAGCATTAAGTATAAGACCTTTCAATGTTTCTTTTAGAATAAGCTTGGTATTGCTTTATTTTTTGAGTTTTCGTTTGAGAAATTCTTTCTCTCTCCTTTCTAAGTGATAATCTTGCTGGGTAGAGTATCCTAGCTTGCAGGTTTTTCTTTCAGGACTTAGAATGTATCTTGCCAGCAACATTTCTGTAGAGAAACTAGCTGTTTTTCTCTTGCTGCCTTTAGAGTCTTCTCTTTGACTTTGGCCATTTTAATTATAATATGTCTCGCTGTAGGTCTGTTTGAGTTCATTATGTTTGGGACCTTTCATGCTTCCTGTACCTGGATATCTGTTTCCCTCTTTAGTTTTGGGAACTTTTCAGCCGTAACTTCTTCAAGTATTTTTTTGATGCCTTTTTCCCTCTCCTCCTTCCGAGAGTCCTATCATATATAGATTGGCACATTTTATATAATCTCATCTTATATTGTTTTCATTTTTTAAATTTGTTTTTCTACCTGCTGTTCTGACTGGGTGATTTCTATTATTCCATCTTTCAGGCCCCTTATTCGTTCTTCCTCATTGTTCAGTCTATTTACTGCCTTTAGCTCGGCTTTCATCTCAGCACTGTTTTTTCTGATTTTAACTGGCTCCTCTTTAGAGTTTCTATCAGCAGCCTCTCTTAATACCTTCAGTATTTTTATCATCTCCTTTTTGAACTCGAATTCTGGTAGACTGGAGAGGTCTATTTTGTCGTTTGTTCTTTCAGGGGGGTTCTCTTGCTCTTCTAATTGGGAGTGGTTCCTCTGCTTCTTCCTTGTACTCATATTTCTCTGACTCTGTGTTTAGGAGTAACAGGTATCTACTGTGGTCTTGAAAGGCTACTTTTATGTGGGAGCATCCTTGTGTAGCCTGCATGTGTCTAAAACCTTTGTTGTGAGGGCTGCTTTTACTGCAGACGGCTTTCATCTTTCTCCTGTGTGGGATCGGTGTTATTATCTCCTTGATGGGAGTGTGACTGGTGCTGTGGTGACCAAAGTCTGCACTGGATGTTGAGTGGGGCCTCCTCTTTGCTCTACAGTTGTCATGGCCCTGTCAGGAGCTGAATCTGCTCAGCAGTTGTTGGAGTAGACGCCCCCAGGTTTGCTTCTGAGCTGCACTGTGAAATAGGTGGGACTTAAGCACTTCCACTGGGAGAGTCGCTGCTGAGTACTCCTTTGCAGGAGATGTCTACCAGGAAGCACCCTCGGTGGTGTCACCTGTCACCCGCTGTGCAGGCTCACAAAGTCCACTGTTGTTGGCACTGCCCTCAGCCCTGCCTCAGCTGTGGGAATGCAGGCAGCCTGCCCTGGTGTCCTTCAGGCACTGTGCTCACAAAGCCACCAGGGCAGATCCACTGAAGCTGGACACCAGGATGCCATTTTCGTGTGTAGTCTCACCTGGACTGCCGTGGGATACAGAGTCAGTCCAGACCCCTGCCCCACCTCTGATTTTCTTCAGAGAAAAATAAATGTAAATCTAGTGAAAAATATATATTCAATTTGGAGCAAATGGAACTCATACATTGTTGATGGGAGTATAAAACCATAATCCCTGCATTTAGTTTTATTTTAGTTAAATGGATTCAATGTTCATTTGTAGTGAGCTTTGAAAAACAGTTCTGTAATCTCTTATAAACATATATATACTTCAATAAAAATATATATTTAAAAAAAAGATAAACATATGGTCATCCTAAGACCCAGCAATTACATTACTAGGAGAATGTAAGAGAAATGTAAACATATGTCTACACAGAGACTTACACATGAATGTTTAGAGCAGCTTAACTCATAATAGCCAGGAACTGGAAACAACTCAAAATATCTGTTGAATAGACAAAATAAACTGGGATATACTCACACAACAAACTACTTACTACTCAGCAAAGAGGGATAATGAATTATTGTTATATGTAACAACATGGATGACTCTCAAAGGCATTATGCTTAATTAAAGTAGCAATACACAAAAGAGTACAAATTGTATCATTCACTTTATATGATGTTCTAGAACAGGAAAAAACAATTATTGTGAAAAATCAGCTCAATGGTTCCTTGAGGTGACAGACTGGAAAATGACTAACAGCATAAGGGCATTAAGGAACTTTCTAGAGAAGTGAAAATGTCCTATATATTTTGATTGGGGTGGTAGTTATAGAGGTATACACATTGGTCAAAATTCATTAAACTATACATTTAAAAGTTGTGTATTTTACTGCATGTAAGTAACACCTCAGATAAACTGATTTTTAAAAATCAAGGAGAAAACAAAAATACAGCTGATCTTTGAACAATTAGAGTTTGAACTACATGGGTCCATTTATATGTGGATTTTTTTATTTTAATAAATACATGTACTACACGATCTGAGCTTGGTTGAATTCTTGGATGAAGAACTGCTGACACAGTGGGCCAAATGTAAAGTTAAACATGAATTTTCAACTGTGCAGAGTCAGTGCCCATAACCCCTACATTGTTCAAAGGTCAACTGTATTTCAATACTAACAAAAACAGAGAGGTTTTTGCCTCTAAAAGATCCTCACTGAGATAATGTCTAAATTGTATTCTTTAGATAAAACAGAAAATGATCCAAAATGGAAGGTCTGAGCCAAAAGAAGGACAGAAGAGCAAAGAAATAACAAAGACATGAGTCAATATAAATAAATGCTAACTTCAGAAAATAATAACTTGTGGAGTCAAAAAATAGATACAACTAGACTATATACGATAACAACAGAATATCATACAGTGTTCTAAGATTCATTTGTCATTTAAGAGAAGAACAAAGATAATTATTTACTTTGGATTTTGTGGAGCTAAGTATACATGTTAAAATTTCTAGAGTAACTACTAAAAAATAGAAAAAGGACATACAGCTTCCAAAGCCAGTTAAGAAGAAAAATGAGAAAAAATAACCAATCAACTCAAAAAGAGCTAAGAAAGAAGAGAACAAGGAAACAGAAAAGGTGGGGCAAATAGAAGGCACAAAGCAAGATGGGTAGACATAATAAATAAGTGAATTAAAAGTGTTTCTTTTTGGCAAATCAGCATAGGTTGCTGACGCTCTCTCTCTCAGAATAAGTCTGGAAAAGCTACAAAAACAAGATCTTGAGAAATATGGGTTCGAGAAACCTAACAGAAAGAAGCATGAAAAATTCCAGTGAGGCTTAAGGCTGTCTTAAACTGGTATGTGGTACGGTGCTAGATGGCTAAAGCGAACAGAGTAAAATGCAGCTTAAGGCGGCAATGAAAAGACAGGGTGGATAAAAAGATATTTGAAGTCTTATTCTAGCCTCTCTCCTCTTTACTGGGGAACAACCATTTCTTGCCTTTTCACTCTAGGCATCAGCTGGTGTCCATAAAGTTAAGTATCAGGGCAGCGGAGAAATCCTATCGGCTGATACGCCAAAAACGTGGATAGACCACCTACCCTCAGGCATTCAACTTCCCATTCCCTTCCCGGCTGAACTGTAGGGAGACAGTCTCTTCCCAATGCCATTACGGCTAGACAGACTGATTTCTGTTGTTTACCTCTCAAAAAATCTTAAGTAATATATACGTGCATATGTATTATTGTTTCCAGAATCCTTTAACATCTCCATTAGAACAGGCTTAGGAAAAAAAAGAACTTTAGAAAAATTTCAACCTTTAAATATTTAGAGAGGCAGGAAAATGGATGCAGTGAAGTTTATAATTTATCTTTAAAACATACTTCAGATTATATACTTGCTGATTCACACAACTTTGGATAATCAAACTAAAGATCTTTTAAAATATTTAATTTTTAATTAAAGATCAATGGCCCAAATGCCTTTTACCTTAAGAGATGAGCTAATAATAATGGTGGTTGTCCACTTTACTTTTTCTTTTCCATCGCTTTCAGCCATCTCTCTGGATCAACCTAGTCTCTAATGGTGCCAACAATCTGAGAAAAATAAGAGCAAAAAGAACACATAGAAATGTTTGATGAATCCGTAAATTAAAGATAGAAATAAAATTAGGGTAATGGAGATATTCTAAAGAATATTTGAAAGTCCAAATTTGACGCTGAAAAATGATCTGTCTTGTTATACATTAAGCTCGTTGGATATTACTCTTCCTAATAACAATTATTAAAAGCCACTGTTCCCTTTTCAGGGCACTAACTTAAAGAAGACAGACTTGTGTCAAGGACTGTAAAAGTTCTGGAGTTTTATCCTACTTGCAAGTTTCATAGGTATAGCAAAAAACATGAGACTTGGATTAGCAAGGACAGATTTTTACTCACAATAGGAGCATCATCATTTCCTTACAGCAGTTCCCCAACTGCAGTTCCCACAGGGTGACAAGACAAGGCCAGGTAACAGCAGCACATACAATAGGCTGTGCTATAGGAAAGGAACCCTGAGCTTACCTTGAAAACAAACCTGCCCTCTGTTCCTAGAGGGAAATACTGTCTCTAACTTACAAAGTTACTGACTAAACAAAAACCCTTGAAAAGACAGTTCAGGGTAGGGCTTTTCTAACAAGTGTATTGGTGATGCTTGTTGATGCTGGTCTGGGGACCACACTTTAAGAATCACTGCACTAAGGGAAGAAGGAGTGTTCTAGATAGCAAACCACCACCAACAAAGCACCATACACTGGCAATCAGAAAGAAAAGAAAATGATATGGTAACAGAATTTCAAGACATTCAGTGAGTTAAAGTTTAAGGCATTTACATCTGAGGCAGGTAGGTGAGAAGAAAGGTAAAAACTAATGCAAATCTAGTAGCATTAAATTAAATTTCAATATGGCATAAATTTGGCACTTTTCTGATTATTGAGACTAACACCCTTAAGCCATACTTCCACTTGTATGAAAAGCGTGTGTCTTTTGCCCATTTTTCTATTAGATTTCTTTTTTTCACTCATTTGTAGCATTTGTCTATTCTGAATATCAGTCTTTACCAGCTATGAGTGTTATCTCTCAGTTTGTACTTGTCTTTTCCCCTTCTTTATAGTAATATTTGATACATACAAATTAAAATTTTCAATATTTTAAATTTATCAATCTTCTCATTTATGGTTAGTGCTTTTTGTTTCTTATCCTTCCCTATTCTGAAGTCATAGATATCCTCTTTCATTGTCCTCTAAATTTTTAGTTGGGCCTTTCAAATTTAAGTCTTGAATTCATCTGGATTTTTGTATAGAGTCTGCAGCAGGGCTCTGATGTAATTTTTTTACATATGGCTATCCAGTTGTCCTAACACTGTCTATTCAGTCATCCTTCCTCCCCACAGTCGTCTACAATACCACCTTCTTCATACGTTGTTTCCTTATATGCACAGGCCTGTTTCTGGGTTCTCTATTCTATTCAGTTGCTCAGTTTGATTATTCCTAATCAATGTCACACTGTTTTTAATTATCACAGGTTTTTTTTTAAAGTCTTGATATCTGTATGAGAATCCCTCCAACTTACTCTTTTTCAGTCGTGCTGTAGCAATTCTTTGGTCTTTTTCCTTCCCTATAAATTTGAGAGTCACCACATTGAAAGCAGCTTTTTGCCCCCTTCCTATTTGCCCATTTACGTTCCACTCTCACCTTAAAAGAATCTAACTACATGAATGAGATCACTAAGCAACTGAAACTAACTCCTGACTTATGCTCTCCAGAATACACACCAGCCCTTGTCTAACCTGTTTTATTCTTCTCCTAGACAAAAGGAAGAAAGAAGGGAGAACCAAGCAGTTAAAGAATGATTAGCTTTCTACCTACAAAAGCCCCCTTAGCAATCCTGCAGGCAGATCACTGGGCAAGATATGAAGAGTCAGCCGGTCTGCAAGCAATGGAGAATAATGCAGAATCCAACCTCCTGCCACAATGATTCACTGAGATTCTTCCCCTCATTTTTCCCTTTGAAAACTACCATGGCTGAGCAGAATCTTCAAGTTGGTCTCTGGACACAAGTCCACCTTTTCCCCAGATTGCCGGCTTTTCTGATTAAAGCACCTTTCCTATCTATTGACTTGTCTCTGAATTATTGGCTTTTGAGCAGCAAGCAGCCCAACCTAAGTTCAGTAACAATGTCAGTTGCTTTAAAAACCCTGTTGGTTAACAGTTGTTTGGAAAGTTTGTTACAATGGTTTTGCTGTGGAAGTGTTTCAAACTCTGCTGAAATGTTGCTGAAAAGCATGGTGCTGATAACTGTTCCATAATCTGTGGCTGCTCATTCTTGCCTACTTTTACTCTTTCCTTGAAGCAGGTTAGCACTGAAGGTTCATTTGTTTCTTCTTCTTTCCTCTCCCCGGAGTCTACCCTTCTCCCTTCTTAGTTCCCTCAATCTGATTAAAAACAAAGGATAAAAACCCACATTGAGAGGGGTATATCAAAAGAGTAGCAGAACCAACTGAAAGAGATCACAATGGTCAACACTGGAAAATCTGACCAGCAAAAGACATAAAACACTTCCATAATTCAAAGCATAAAATAAATCTTTGAGCCCATGGATATAAATGATTGAACAAATTAATAAATGAGGGATTAGAGACATATCTCTTGATATTGCCTCCAAAAGAAATTAGAGGAACCTGACAAATGCTACCTCAGCCAGGTGGTCAAAGTCTACAGCAACAGTCATAAATCATGTTCACAGTACATACCTTGATACCATGTAGTCTTCCTCTCAATAATCCATAACCCCAGTCCTATCATGAGAAAAACACCAAACAAATTCCAACAGTAGGACATCCTATAAAATATCCCACCAGCACTCCTCAAAATTGCCAAGGTCATCAAAACTAAATGTAATATAGTATACTGGTTGGAATCCCAGAACAACAACAAAAAAATTAAGTTAAAAAGTGAGGAAACTATGGACTTTAGTTAATAACAATGTACTAGTATTAATTAATTAATTGTAATAAATATACCATAATAATGTAAGATGTTAATAATAGGGGAAAATTTAGATATAGAGTATGTTGGGATAAACTGTATTATTGTCTCAGTTTTTCTGTAAATCTAAAACTGTTCTTAAAAATAAAGTTTATTTTTTAAAAATCCTCTCTCTCCTTCAAGACCCATTTGAAATCCTATCTCCTGTAAGAAACTATCCCTGGTCCCCTAAACTGAAAGCAACCTTTCTTTTCTCAGAATGCATTTTACAACATCTCTTTTGAGCACTTACCACATTGTGTCCAACAAAATTATTTACAAATATATTTCATTTTCACTAAATCACAACCTTCTTAATGTCAACCAAATTTATAAACTCCATGCTACTTAATACAAAATTAGTTTAAAGCAAAATTTAGAAACCAACTGATCTAAATGAAAGTCACTTTTAGTGATGATGAATTAACATTTCCTAAGGCAGTTTTATTCTTTGAACAATTCTAATAATTAGAAAGTTCTTCCTGCTGGGTTGAAACCAGCTGCTCTATAATTTCCTCATTTATTGCATGAATGAATGAATGACAAGTTGACTAGCTCTATGAGAGGAGGGACACCTGTTTTATCCAATACTGTCACCAACACCTGGCAAAAAGCAGACACTCAAAAACTGTTCTTGAACGAGTAAATAGCTGGCTGGGGGGAGGCACTGCAATTTTTATCTCCTCCCATACAACTTAATTGACTGTTTAGCTAATGACAATCCACCTGATGGCACACGCACAGAATACACCGCACACTTCGTTTTCTCTCTGCTTCGCTTTGTGGCAATTCACAGATACTGTGGGGTTTTTGTATAAATTGAAGGTTTGTGGCAACTCTGCCTTGTCAGATGATAGGTAGCTTTTTAAAAAGCATTTTAAAATTAAAGTATGCACGCATTTTTGAAAGGTACAATGCTACTGCACACTCAGTAGACTACGGTACAGTCTGAAGTAACTTTCACGTGCACCAGGACACCAAAAAATTCACGTGACTGGCTTCCCTGCGGCACTGCGGCGGCCTGGAGCCCACGCCAGTGTCTCCGAGGGATGCCCGCACCATCGCTGAAATCTGCCCTCCTCTCTGTGTAGGTTTAATAAACAGTGTCAACCAATTCACGCAAAGCTGAGAGCGGTTAAGCGATTCTGCGCGCGAGTGAGTGAGAAGGGAAGAGGGGTCGGAGACCCCCAGGAGCGCACTATTCGCAAACGAGAACGAAAGAGAGCAGGGCCTGGGCAGCCAGGGCCCCCGGGGCCCCGTCCCAGGCCGGCGGCCCAGCCCCGCGCC